TTAAAAACCACTAAAATATGATTTGTTTTATGTAGTTCCTTGCAAATTTATCCCCACAAGTTATATTAAGGTTCAAGATATTTTGCACTTCCATAACAATATATTGTTCACCAAACATCCACGTGCAATTAGACAAGTCCATGTGGCTAGTTTGGGGCTGGGAAGGAAAATAATATATGTCATTTGGCCAAGTTGTTTTGAGACAACAGTCATGCTATGAAAGCAGCCTGTTTCCCTCAATTCCTTCAGAGCAGAGCTGCCGTAGAGAGTCAGAGCTCCCACAGTCCTCAGGACAAGTGAGAAACAGACATTGAACTGTTAAGCTACTAAGATTTTGAGGTTAATTTTCTACCACACATACCCTAGCATCTGAGTATATTCTATATTTTTTGATTAACTGCTGCATCTTACTGTTGATTCCCACTACAATGATTGGAGTAATGCTAATTACCTCTTTTAGGAGAGATCTATCCAGCCTTTCAAGTTGTTAGAAGATGAGGGCTATGTCTAAAACTATGCCACTACCTTTTAGTGGTTGAAACTAAAGGAAGAAGAATGACAACCAGTCGACCTCCCTTATTTCTCCAACAACTTTTTCACTATTATTTACCTCCCTCTTCAGAAATCGTATTCTGACCAAAGCTTGCATTCCTTTCAAATCTGGAGAATAAATAAAGCTTAGCAAAGTAAATAGAAAGAAAAATCAGTGCATCTTAGAGATAGAAAGGACAAAAGAAACCTATCTAAACTCAATGCTTTAATTTATAAAGGAAGAAAGAGAGGCCCAAAGTGGCCTGAGTATCTTGATGACTGTCATGCCACCACTCACAACAGGGGCAGGTATGAAAGTTCAGGTCTGTGTCACCAGCACAGAATTCCTTCTGTGTAGAACTTCCTGGTGTTACTAAACAACTGGATGGAGAATTAGGAAAAAGAGGAAAGATGAAATATTCTAATAAACCATTCCAATTCTAATTTGGTCCTCTAGAGGAAACACTGAGGGGCTCTAGTCCTGGAAGGACAGGAAGTCCTTCTTCCGGAGTCACTTCCATCCCAGCAAGTACTAATTTCAAAACAGCTTGATTTGACATTTACCTTGAAGTCTAGTGAAAACGTCAATGGTAGACCTACCCAGTCAACATTTCTTTCAAAGCCACAAGTTTTCTAAAAGTGAAATAAAAAACAAAGCAGTGTTTTGCTTTTTGCAGAATATAAAAAGGGGAGGGGGTAAAGAGAAAAGGACATTATGAGAGGCAGGACAAATATAGTCAGTGAATATATTAAATGTTATTGTCTGACTTTAATTTTCTGAGGACTTTTTAAATTTTCTGAGGACTTTTTAAATTATCACCAATGAGGTGATCTACTCATTTCTAAACTTTAAAATCATCATCAGGAAAACATTTATGAACTTTGAGCAGCTGGAGTACAGGAACCCAGGAGAGAGAGTGTTCCAAATTGCACTCCATTGCATTGTACCACTTAGAGTTCAATTTGCTCCCTTTTCTTGAATTTTATACCACATTTTCACTTTAATACATAAATTCTAGTCTTAAAATCACTCTATACATTATTAAATAGTACATCATAATCATAATTTCCACTTTTTATCAAATATTAACTGATTTAAATTTTAAAATTAATCATGAAGGGCAGCACTATTCAAAAATATCATGTTCAAAAATACTATTCAGAATATCATGTTAATTAAAAAAGAGCATTACAACATCAACTTTTTGGTATTATGTGGAAGCAAAGTACTACGAGGACCAAATAAAAAAAAAATTTGAGTATTACAAAAATATTGAAGCACTGAAGTGAATAGAGAGATAATGCTATTATTTTAGGGGAAAAAAAAAAACTTTAGCCTGGCCGACTCCTGGAACTCCTGAACATTCTTCAAGATTTCCCCTGCTATTTGCTTAGCTAAACCTTATTTATTCCTTATTTATCAAACGTTGACAAATTATTGAACAAATATTTAGACTATTACAAAGTGCTATGGAAGCACTTCCTCTATGCTGATTTTATAAACCTCAGATACCACATGAGGAATTAATTTGTTGCTCTTGTACTGGCGAGAATTATACTTCAGTCTTTGAAGACCCTAATTTAAAATACAACTTTTATACTTATGTCTTCAGATTTTTACACTCAGCTAATTTGCTTGTTTCCAATCATAACATGCACTCTCATATTTTTATACTTCCATAGCTTTGAATGCTATTTCTATATCTGTAATTATGTTCCAACTCCCTATATGCACACATGCATGTGTGTGTGTGTATGCGCGCATGTGCACACACACACACGCACACTACTTTCAAGTGTTTCCTCTTTTGCTAAGGCTTGAGTGTCAAAAAAGAATGTAAACATATTGGAAATCTTGGAAATCCCTCCTCTATTTCCCATAGCATTATGTGAATGCTCTTAATAATGGGTAGTTGTGTGATATATCTGATTTTCTTCTCCACTGGACTGAGCAGTATGCCACACATTTGTATAGCCACTACCTAGCTCATTTTCTCTCAGAGTAGACATTCTATAAAATCTTGATGAGTGATTTAGATGGGTAATAAAAAATCAGAATTCTATATTAGAGGCATGATTTTGACTTGACAAATGTCAATATTCCATTATCTGATAATCTGGTATGGTAACATCTGGATAAGACTTAAGAAGTCCCACAAGACTTATTCAAGGTTTATGATAATGCATTGTTATGCAATACTAAAGTAAGGCAAAATATGAGGTGGTATAGGAGGAGATGCAGAAAAGGAGAAAAAGAATCACAATAGGAAAAGAAAGGGAAGTAGAAGGAAAAGAGGAAAATAACATCAATACTATGCTAGGCACTATTCTAAGCACTTTATCTCATTAAATCTTTATAACAATATTATTTAGATTCCCATTTTAAAAGAGGCTCCTAAAATTTAAGAAACTTCTAAAAGTCACAGACAGTAGGTGATAAAGCCTGACCACAAAAATTCCATTTACCTTTAGCTTCATCTGTCAGACTAATTCAATACTAAATCCACTTGTTATACAAACTGTATACATTTCCTTAGCACAGCCTTTTACCATCTTGATTTATACATCATACTGCATTGGAAACAGGAGAATGCAAAAATAAAATAATGTGAAATTACTATTAAGTACTTCTAATTTATACCATATTAGAAATCTTTGCCAAAGATGGAATGCATTAAGAAATTTGATGTAGGGGCCTGCCTAGTGCCCTAGGGATTAAATCTCAGCGCTACCACCTTTACTGCCTGAGTTCAAATCCCCTACCAGGGAGCTAACCTATAGAGTACAATAGACCTTTCTCATTTTCCTGGCTGCTCCCCTTAGCAATGTTTTTCAGTAGACCTGCCTGTTCTGCTCCCTACTCTGTCTTTGGTGAATCCTCTCACATACACTGCCCACCCCACCACACCCCCACACCTCTGGCCTACACCCCAGTTCTTCTACAAAAAAAGTTAATAAAATCTTTAAAAAAAAACTGCTTAAAAATAAATTTGATTTGATCAGATTGATGGACTTTATACATTGAATGCTTTCTATGATTTATGAATGGACAAATAAATATCTGGAATATATTCATAGATCTTTTTCTTTTTATGATATTTAATCTTTTCCTGCCACTCTAAATTTCTTGATTCCTCTAGCAGACATGTCTCATTTCTTTCCCCTGCCCCCTCTCTCAGAACCTCTATACCCTCCCATCTCTTTACTATTTTGTTGACTATATTAAATTAAAAAAATAGAAACTTAATGGAATTAGAGACAAAGCAGTGAAGAAAACTTAAATAAAGATTATTAATGTCCTGTGAAATAACAGAAATTAGAGCATCTATGAAAAAAAAGAACAGAATGCTATGAAAAGGAACATTCACAAGGAAGATAGGTTAGTTATATATTGCTGTAAAGCAGATTAACCCCAAACTTAGAAGCTTACAACAAACATTTACTATTTCATATGGTTTCTGTCTGTCAAGAATCTAGGAGTAAATTAGCTAGATGGTTCTGGCTCAAGATCGCTCATGAGATTGCAGTCAAGCTGTCAACTAGGGCCCCAGTTTACTGAAGACTTGACTGAGGCTGCAGTCAAGATGGCTCATTAATATAGCTGTTGGCAGGAGACCCAAGTCTCTTACAACATGGATCACTCCATAACACCATTGTGCTTTCTTACAGCCTGGCAACAGGCTTCCACCAGAGCAAGCAATCAGAGAGAAAGCAATCAGAAAGCCATAGTATCTTTTATGATCTAGTATACAAAGTTGTACTTTTTTCCTATTCATTAGAAACAAGTTGTACTAAATCTAGCCCAAATTCAAGGAGAAGGCTATTAAGTTCCACTTAGATGGGAGTATCAAAGAATTTGTACAGATAGTTTAAACCACCATACAAGAAGAAAAATAGCTTTAAGAAATTATAAATATGCTCAAAGCATAACCTTCGAAATAAAAATTCAGTACAAACATGAAAAGGTACAGTTGAGAAAAGCTGACCAAAAAAATCAATGATGGAAAATAATTGTTAAAAAGAAAAAGAAGAAGAAGCTCAAACTCCCAACTAATTGGAAGTTCAGAAAGAGAAAACAAAATTGAATGAATGAATGAATGAATGCAGGGAAAACAAGGAAAATTCTTCCCCGAATTGAATGATACAAATCTTCAGTTTCATAAGTTGTCCCTTACTGCCTAGCACAAAGTACGAAAAATGATCCAAACCCAAAAACACTGTAATACTAGGAATATAGGGGAGATCCTAATAGCTTACATAGTGAAACACAGGTCATGTGATATTTCTCAATATTATTGTAATTAAAGACAACAAGACAATGTCTTCAAAATTCTGAGAGAATTTAATTTTCTGTCTTATTTCTATAATCAGTTATACTATTTATTAACTAAATTGTGTCACCCTAAATTTCTGTTGGAACACAATCCCCATTGTAATGATATTTGAGAGGGCCTTTGAGAGATACTTACCATTAGATGAGGTTATCAGGTTGGGGTCTTCATTATAAGATTAGTGCCTTTATAAGAAGAGACACAAGGGAACTTGCTCTGTATTTCTTCCACCATGAAGACATAGCTAGAAGGTAATCAGTTGGAAGTTTAGAAGGAAACTCTCAACAGAGCATTCTTGTCCCCCCAGCCTCCCATCTCAGACTTCCAACCTCCAGAACTGTAAGAAAATTAATTCTGTTGTTTAAGTTACCAAGTATATAGTATTTTGTTATGGCAACCCAAGATGACTAAAACACTACTCATTAATTGTGAGGGCTAAATAAAGACATTTTCAGACATATAAGATTGCAAAATTTTATCTGTCATGCTCATTAAAATGAGGGCATACAGAAAGAAGTAAAAGGATGAGGTCCAAGAAGCAAAAGATTTGATACAGGAAAGTCATACTCAGGACAACTGTATATTTATGTTGTTTCAAGTTGTAAACAGTCCAAACTGGAGAAGAATGGAGTGTCCCAGGGGAAAAAAGTAAGAAATAAATTATGTTAGGTTTGATCATGTGTATAGTTGACTGATAATGTAAAGAATTAGCATAAACACATAGAAAATGAAGCAAATGAAAATATGGGATAATGTTAACTTCAAGGAAAATGAAAATTGTACAAGAAAATAATCATGATATACTGACTCACAAATAATGTCTACATAATTATAAATGATACATTCACATTTAAATGATTTAAATGTATTTAGGAAATAGGAACTAACACAATAAACATGCCCATTCACCTGAAACATATTGTTTTTGTTTTTTAAAGATTTATTTATGCATACATGAACTGGGGTATAGGTCAGAGGTATGGGGGATGAGAAGATTCACCAGAGACAGCATAGGGAACAGAACAGGCAGATGCACTGAAACACACTGCTGAGGGAAGCAGCAGGTGAGCCAAGAGAGGTCTGCTGCGCCATGTGGGTAGCTCTGTGGCCTGGGATTGAACCCATGCTGCAGTGGCTGCGGACAGCCCCATAGGTTGTGTCTCAACCTCTTTGCGCCACCAGGGAGGCTCTAGATCATATTGTTTTGTTTTGTTTTGTTTTGTTTTAATTGCAAGTTTCCAAGCACCACCTAGCTGGTATTCATAGTCAATATATTTGAGGTGGGGACTAAAAACTTGTAGATAGTAGTAAGTTCCTCTGATGTTTTTAAAAAATTTTCAAATCTGGAAACCATTAATTTATAGAGGCCTGAGGAAAGTGAGATAAACATCATTATAATTATCATCTTTCTCTAAAATTATTGGACTTTTTTTCCAACATTCTGCTATAAATAAACTCACTCTTTTTGATGGATGGCAGAATTATCTTCAAATTACAGACTCATAATAGAGGAGGAAAGAGTTTTAAAGCAAATCTTAAACTAAATTTTAGTTCCATATAGTGCTTTTCTCAGATTTATAAAAATAGAATGGTAACCTGTTCTCTAGCAGCACTAAAGAAAGGATAAAAGAAAATTACTTAAAATACACAAAATAGCCCTAGGGTATAGAAGCTTCCTGACATTGAGATTTGTTAAACACTAACATGGTTTCCTAGAAAGTTAAAAATATTCGTCTTTAAGAGTTTTTAGAAATTTTGGGCATTTGTGTTGTTTCCAAAGCTTAGCTATTATAAATTGTGCTGCTATAAACATAGGGGTGCAGGTGCTCTTTGGAATTAATGTTTCTGTGTCCTTTGGGTAAATACCTAGGAGTGGAATTGCTGGATCATATAGAAGCTCTATCTTTAGTAGGCTGAGGAATCTCCACACAGCTTTCCATAGTGGTTGGACCAGTTTGCACTCCCACCAGCAGTGCGGGAGAGTTCCTTTCTCTCCATATCCTCACCAACATTTTGTTGTTGCTAGTTTTTTTAATATGTGCTATACTCACTGGTATAAGATGGTATCTCATTACGGTTTTGATTTGCATTTCCCTGATTGCAAGTGACATTGAACATTTTTTCATATGCCTGTTGGCCAGAAGATGTGGTACATATACACAATGGAATATTACTCAGCATTCAAAAAAGATAAACACATGCAATTTGCAGCAACATGGATGGAGTTGGAAGGGATCATGCTCAACAAAATAAGGCAAAAAGAAAAAGAAAAATACCAAATGGCCTCACTCATAACAGGAATCTAGAAAACCTAAATATGGACCAGGAAAAAGAATAACTATAAGAAAGAAAAAAAATCAAAATCAACAACTATGAACCAGAGATACTCAGGGGTGGGAGGGGAAGAGGGATTGGGGTCAAAATTGAGGTTGCAATTGTATGGGGAATATAAAAATTTAAAAAAATGAAAAATGATGTAAAAAATATATAAAATAAATAAATTAATAAATTTTAACAAGAGTTTTTAGAAAATATTTCCCATCTGTCTGAGTTTAGAGAATTAAGTCAGGAGAAAAGAAGATAGGGGCCTCCCTGGTGGCGCAAGGGGTTAAGTCACAGCACTATGAAGCTATCCACAGCCACTGCAGCACAAGTTTGATCCCAGGCCAGGGAGGTGGCCCATATGGCACAGCTGACCTCTCCTGTCTTGCCTGCTGCTCCCCTCAGCAGTGTATTTTAGTAGATCTGCCTGTTCTGTTCCCCACTGTCCCTGCTGAATCCTCTCACCCCACACACCTCTGGTCTGCACCCTAGCTCTTGTATGCATAAATAAATAAATCTTAAAAAAAGAAAAGAAGATAGCTAGAAAGACTGAATATATCAATTCCTTCAACAATACCGATAAGTGCCTAGCACTGTGTATGTTCAGGGTATTTTAAGATACCATTTTCAAATTTACTTACTCATAGAATACTTCTCAAATGAAATGTGTAGAGTTCCATCACGAGGAACTTCTAATGTAATGTTTGTTTATATAAGAAGTAACAGAAGAAAAAAATCTCAGATATAAAATGCTGAAGGGAAATAAAAATAATATTAACAAAACACATCAAGCTTAATAAAACAGCTTTTATGTTTTGTTATAAAATAAGATTGACATTTGCAATTATGTTTATATATTTACATAATAGAATTCATAGAAGCAACTACACTTTTTAGAACTTGAAGAATTCATCAAGGTAATCATATACAAAATAAATACATAAATCAACAGCTTTACATAATCAGTTATAATATGTAATGGGGGAGTTGTAGTATGGTACTGTTTCCTAAAGCAGTAAAACTTATAAAATACTTACCAATAGGTTACAGGAAATATACAAATTCTATATGAAGAACTTGGCAGTGATTTACTGAACTATTCCAGTGAATACTTGAACAAATGGAGAATTTCTAGAACTGAAGACTCAGTGTTGTAAAGATATCAATTCTTCTTAATTAACCATAGTTATAAAGCAAGTCTAAATAAATTCCCATGTGTGTGGATGGGTTGGTGATTCACAAAGTATAGAAAACTGATTATAAGTTCAAGAATAAATACATTAAAATACAAAAACAGGTGGCACATTGACATAGAAGTTTAATGCTTTCTTCCTTTTACCAAAAATTAAATTAAATGGATTATTTGATAAGATAAACTCACAAAGAAAAGGAGGACAATAGGAGAGATAAGTTGACAAGAAAACAATATGAATAAGTTCCTGGAAGATGGAAAACAGACAGGGAAATAACAGAAAAGAAGAGAATGCTTTGAATGAAATGTCTACCAAAGAGAATCATGTTGACTTGTGTCACTCAACTCTTGAGAGGCTCAAATTATGAAGAATCGGTTGTAGGAATAAGAGGCAGGAATTCAAACAGAGAAATTAATAAAAATCTATATACAAACTGCCAAGTCACTATAATCTGGAAAATTGAAATCAGGCCTGTGCTTAGACACAACAGGCATAACAGTATTGGCGAGTAGTAGTTTATGAAAACCTGCATCTTAACTGGTGGAAACCAGGAAACTTCTTTAATTCTAGTAACTCTTGGAATCAGATACATGCCTCACGTGCAGCACACTAGATCCTGTTTTAGAGAAAATGAATAGCCCTGAACAACAAGTAATCTCTAATAATGTAATGATCTTAAGAACTGGATCACTCTACAGAAACCTACCATAGTACCATCCAATTCTTTTTGGCACCTTATTCTGAAAAACAAATAGACCCTCTGGGTCACCAAACATTTGAGGAACGTTTCTAACATAAAATGCTGAAATGTACAAAATGGGAGAAAAGGAACCCCAACCCAGATGCAAGAAAATAAATAGAAGAAATCATCCAGCTATTTCTTCATGTTCCTTGGTGGAAAAAGGGAAGACACTGCATATATAATAAAAGAACAGGAAGTTATTAACTTTAAGTAACCATCAGAGAACAAGAAATAGCCTAGAAAAATAAAAACATATAGAATTTTTCAAATTCAATAGATGGATTGAATAAGCAAAATCCAATAAGGAACTGTATTGATAAAATTCAGATTGTGCAGTGAAGAGGAGTGATTAAAGAGACAGATTATAATGCAGATAACATTAACAAAACAAATTCATATATGAAGTAAAATATCTAATAAGAATTCTAAAAGAGAGAAAAATGGAAGAAATGATCAAAATTAATTTTTCCAAAGAAGAATTTCCAGAATAAAAGAATGTATTGACACCAGGAAGAGTGAAACTGGAGTCCTGCAGCACAAGCTGTGGGGCATGGCCAGCTTTTCTTTGGCTCAGCCCTACACCTGAGCAATGGCCCCTGAAGGCTGAGAGGCAGCGGTGGTTTCCCACTTGGCTGCCCAGCATGTACAGCAGCCAATGTGCCATTCTTCCCACCTACCACCAGAGCATGTTGCCTGTGGGCAGCCCCTCCCTTGGTGCAAGCCAGGTTTAAGTGCAGGAGCTCCTAAGACTCATCAGGTTAGGCTGTCTTGCAGTGGGAGGCTGCAAGTCAGTTATACAGAGGTCCATTTCAATGGGCCTGGCTTTTGCTGCTCCCCAGTGCTGGCTGGGTTTGAATACCAGAGTCCCTTCCCTTGGGGTTCTGGCAGCCAGTCCCAGAAACTTGCTGCTGATAGGCAATGCAACTGGCAGTACAAGCAGTAGCTGGTGGCAGGCATTTTACTACCCATCACCAGTGGCCCACTGAG